AAAGAGATTTTTCCCAAAAAACTTAAGTGATTTTCACTTCTTGTTGAAAGTCGATCTCTATCTATTGCGCAAAGCCACGTGTGGTCGATTCTTTTAGATAACTCCTTTACATGCCATCAATTACAATTCTTGATAAGTATCGCGAATTTTTACCAACTCATCGACATCGTGAGAAATAATTTCATGTTCAAATTCGATTTGCCTAACGATGATGATCAATTGTTAAAAAAAAAAAAAATGTTAATCCGGATTTCCTTAGAAAAAAAAGGGAACAATGGATTTTTGTCATCATCGAATAAAATATATACTTTCACTGGAAATTCCGACTGGAATTACATCGTTGTCCTTAGTGGAAGATATGGTTTTCAAAGTTTGCAACCAAAGTGCACAAAACCCGACCTCCCAACATGAGAAAGATGCGGAATCAATCGAAGCATACTCTAATCTATATTGATGCGGGCGAATTTTATATCTTCGTATAAAATTTCGCCATCGCGTAACAGAAGAAGGACGCACACTCTTTTTCGATTTCTTTCCTCTTTTTCGATCGAGAACCGTCGACAAACAAAGGCAAAATCGGCTTCGCATTCTCTTGGCGATCTTTCTCTTTTTCTTGATACTCGTCTTCTCTGTCTGTCTCTCTTTCTCTCTCTCTTGCTCTTTCTGTTTTCTTTCATCGTTGCTTCACGGTCTCACCTCACCTTGGCCGCGGCCCTTCAACTGTCTACGACCCACGCCCCCTGCCCCCCCCCCCCTGCCTCCTACTTGGTTCCCCGACCTACACCTTCTCTCTCCGCCATCGGTCACCCTCCCCTCTCCTTATCTAGAGACCACGAGGCAACCTTCTATATCTTTTATCACCCCTCCAATGTCCTGTTCCTGCGTGCAAGTACGTGCGATCCTCGTTCACCTGCCTGTTATTATGCACCTTCCTCTTTCTTTCCTTTGTGTGTGTGTGTCTGTGTACGCTACCCACTGATCGACACTCGCCGAACTCAACTCTTCGTATTATTATTTTTATGCTATAAAAATTCATCGTTTATTCTTTAATATCTTGTTAAATTCCAGTTGAAAACCATTGAAATCAAGTGTGCAAGCTTAGGTTCGTAAATTTTTTAATCTACACCCAGAAACTTTTGTAACGAGTAATTTGGGGATGTATTTGTTTCACTAGAAAAAACTAGGAAAATTTATCATAGTTACGGTAAATTCTACTATTCCGGTAGTAGAATTTACCATAACTATATGGTAAACTTTTCTATAGTTTCGACAGATACCCAAATTACTCGGCACTGCAAGAATTCTTACAAGAGTTTTTGAGTGTAAAAGAATTTTATATTTGCACTTTTTGTACCATTTGTACTTCTTTTAATACTCCTGATGCTTTTGGATTTTTTTTTTTTTTGTTAATAAAGTCATAACCTCGCGAAATGTCGAATCTTTCACACTGACGAGTTTACCACGTGACTTGCCTCGCACACTGCCGAAAAAAATCGGCGCGCGCATCTGTGTTCAGTGCCGTCAAATTGAGTGGTTTAAATGTTTCTGATTGTATATTTTTTGACATGCCTGAAGTTCTGAACGTAATCAAATGAACGAAATCATTTATTTGGTCTATGAATTGTTCCAAAATTACTGCAGCAATGAAAATAGAAAAGCACATTAAACATTTGATAAACTAAGGCTTCGGATCTTAAAATGGCCTACACTTGAATTTATGTCACAAAATTTGGTCTCTGTTATTAAAATTTTGAAATCAATATAAAATTTTAACAGTTGATTCTTATCATTGGAATTTGATATTGAACAATTTCTAAATTTTAATAGGGATCAAAACTTGTGACGCAAATTCGAGCGCAGACCCTTTTGAGATTCGGAGACTGGCAATTATTAATTTATTAATTCTCATTTGAACGTTCAGAATCTGTGGCATTTTAATCATCTTTTCTCTAGTCCTTCTTTATTAAGAATTCTATTCAAAAAACCAAATCGAAATTTTAGAAAGAAAGGGAGAAGTATTTACAAAAAGATTTAGGAACTTTTTTTCCAGTCGAATATGTAGCGTGAAAATCGTATACATTCGGAGATGAAATACAAAAGTCATCTTAATTCCCTCGCCTTGGAAAGTAAATTTTTTTCTCTGCTTTTTATTAGACCTATATATTTTGAAACAAAGTGAAAGCGCAAATTCTGCAAACACTATATATATATGCATTGTGAGAATGATTGTGCGTGTTCCAGTGATTGTTCTAGCCTTGGCCTTAACCTTAAAGATTTTATCATCCAAGTTTGTTGCATTGTCCACGCATTTGCGTTTTTTTTCCCCACTCTATATATAAACCAATTTTTGTTTTAAAGTAAAATTTTCTCATTTTAAAACTCGAACTGGTTAAGAATTTTTTTTTTTTTTTATTTAACCTTAGAAGAGATGACGCTAAAGTGGTTTTAAAGGCGGTGGTCGCTCGTTATGAGGGTCTTGTACTTAACTTGCGGTCGAGTACCTTATGCACCTTGCCTTGAATCTCCTGCCTGCTGAAAAGCAAACTACTCTTAAGGCTGGGTCATAATTATTGTACACAAAGTGACGACGAGAATTTAAACATATCTTCAAGTTTCTTTTTTTTTTTTTTATGAATCGAGGGCATTTGAATATATTTTCTTGTATTCAATGTATGTAATAAAAAATTTTCTTTTTTGATATATTTTAACGATGAAATTTTTGATTATGGAGTTGGAGAGTTAAGATAAAAGGAGGAGGGAGAGTGCACCAAACGGGATGTATGACATTATAATATGGCAAAAGGTAGAACCAATTTCAATATTGGAGCAAATTACAGGGGAATGGAGTGGCTCGACCTTGTCTACGGGATTGGCGACTTTGTGGCAGAGGAACAGAAGAGAGTGTGTGAGACTTTCTCGTAGGTGGCGCAATGACAGTCTCTGCAAATTGCGTTCATAAAGTCCGTATCGATGTCAAGATTATACACAGTGTATATATATATGAGAGTTGTATATCCACACATACCATAAGCGTGTCCCTGAAGAAATATACTCGCGAACGTCCCTGACATTGTCGTGTCATTCAAGGATCATGGACTATGAAGGGAACGCATTCATATAATGTTTCCGGCCAATACTTTTACCCTCGTTTTTATTGGTTTAAAAGAAGAATGTGTTTTTTTAATGCTTTAGGATGTCAGGTGTAATTATTATTCTACTCAAATTGGGTTTATTATTTAATTATTGGTTTTGAAATGCAAAGTATAAACAACGCAAAGAAAACTTCAAGCTGAACAATTGAATCTCTTGATGCAAGAACCAGACTTAGAATAGAATTTCAATGCTCTGTCTGGTTCCTGCATCAAAAGGGTTCAATTGTTATTGAAGTTTTGACCGCAAATCAAGTTTTTTTTTAATTGTAATTTCTCATTTGGATAATGATACTGGGGAAATATGGATAGAATTAACGGAATTTAATTATTGATTAAATTATGTTGATGTAACGCCCGCGTCTATTGGAAATCGATAAATCTCGATGAGAAACAAGAGCATAGAGAGAGGCAGTAATAATGAGATTGTGCGTGGAAGTGGGAGAGAAAGAGAGAGGATGAGAGTGGTATGCGAACCTTCGAGAGTTGTATACTCGCGACAGGCGCGAAGGAGAGAGTGAATCAGAGTGAGCGAACGAAAGGGAGTCAGAGTGCAAGAAAGATAGAGGATGGATCGTGCTAGAAGGAACAAGAATGAGAAAGAGTAACAGAGAAAGAGAGAGCGAGGAGTGGTTCACCTGCATTGCTAGCATTGCGCCGACTCAAGGCCAGAGAGTCTGTGAGAATGAGAGGACCAGACCGGGTCGGGACCTCCTTCCTTTCAGTGCCTTCCAGTTTCCTGTTCGTTGCTCTCTTTCTCTCTCTCTCTCTCTCTCTCAAACTTCTTTCTTTTCTGCATCTTTCCGGAGAGAAAAAGCAGCGAGTTAGCTGCTAAAAGTTCTTTGGAATTTACGATATATTATGTCCTTCGATGAGAATTGTTTCGAAATTTCGAGCAATTGGTATATGATTTTATTTTCCTGGTAAAAATTGAAGTCTTTTCAGGATTTCTATGAAGGGCCAGAACAATTTTTGTTTCTCTTCTATTCGGTTACAATGCTGTTAATTCTTGTTGCATTAGGTGGTCGGTTTGACCATTAGGGTTCCTTAATCCAAGACGTCTAGTCTGGGTAACCTAGTCTGGTTAAACTGGACTGGAATTAGCCTTCATATGGACTGGCGAAATTAAGCCAACATTGGTTCAAAATTGGAGATATATCATCTCAACCTCATCTGCTACAATTGTCATTAGTTTGGAGACACCAATTTTGAATCAAAATTGAAGCACCGGGCTTTAAATTTTCGCTTTGTTTTTTAAACCAAGACTTAACGAATTTTGACCAAGCCTTAACCAGACCTAAACAAGCTTAAACCCATTGTTGCCTCTCACTTGGGAATCTAAATTCAGTATTGATACCCCAGGTGAGAAGCGACAATACAGGCCCGCAGCTTCAATCTTGATTGGTGTGTCCAAGCTAATGACAATTTGGGATAAGCATTTAATCCAATTTTGAACCAATGTTGGATTAATTTGGCCAGACTGTATTAAGGCTAATTACAGTCTGGATTATCCGGGCTAGGTGTTTAATCTAAAACCAAACCTTAAGGCGTTTCTAGAATCTTTATGTTGAAAAGGTCTTAAGAAGCCTTAAATAGTGGCGTAATGGATAGAACAATGATAATTACATGTCTGGGTGAGACTAGACGACTTAGTTTCCTAAGTCTGTTAGAGACATTTGACCCTTATCTCACCTTTAATTCTGATAATACAGTACTATTAATAATACCAATTCTACTACTATTTTAAAAGCTAAAATTTACTGTTTCATCAGATTTAGAAACTCTAATAATGTAAATTAAGCATAAATTTGAAGAATCCGATACTAAATTTCGTTTGTTTTTTGATTACAGGTTGCAAGATCAAAGCACTGCGTGCAAAGACAAATACCTACATTAAAACGCCAGTTCGAGGTGAGGAGCCAGTGTTTGTGGTGACTGGACGAAAGGAGGATGTGGCAAAGGCAAAACGTGAAATTCTCTCAGCTGCTGAACATTTCTCGCAGATTCGCGCATCCCGTAAGAGTTCATTGGGTGCATTACTTGGAGCACCACCAGGTCCACCAGCATCAGTTCCTGGACACGTGACAATTCAGGTGCGAGTACCATACAGAGTCGTTGGTTTGGTAGTAGGTCCTAAAGGTGCGACCATCAAGAGGATTCAACATCAAACGCATACATATATTGTGACACCAAGTCGCGATAAGGAGCCAGTATTTGAAGTAACTGGTTTACCCGAGAGTGTTGAGGCGGCAAAACGTGAAATTGAAGCACACATTGCATTAAGAACTGGCACTGGACCAGGCATTGAGGATGCCGATTTATTGGGTGCATTATGTCGCGGTGGTTTGGGATCAATTCTTGGCTGTTTAGATCCATCGGGCTCAAATGGCTCAAACGGCTCGAGTGGAGCATTCTCAAGTAGCGGAAGTTGCAGTAGTTCATCAAGTAGCTCAGGTGCACCGGGTTTAAATGATCTTGTTGCAATTTGGGGCGCTGGTTTAGAAAGAGACGAGGGTCTTGGTGAATCGCCATCATTTGAATCGCAAGCTGCATCATCGTCATCAATTTGGTCATTCCCAGGTGTTGCTCTACCATCGAGACCATCGCCACCTGCATCGGCGAGCCCTGCATCACCAACTGATTCACTTTTAGGCGGTGGTAGCGCCAATGGACGACGTGAATGTGTTGTATGCGGTGACAAGGAAATCACTGCAGCACTTGTACCATGTGGACATAATTTATTCTGTCTCGATTGTGGAAATCGCGTTTGTGAAAGCTCAGATCCAAGTTGTCCAGTGTGCCAGAGGCCCGTACTTCAGGCACTTCGCATACTCTCTTAAAAGAAGAATCTCTCCGGAAACGGAGACGCGAGGAGGCGAATAGGAGGAGGAGGAGGAAAGGAGGAGGAAAATTGTCGAGGTAGAAGAAGAACATGGAGGAAATAGATGGAGAGACACGAGAGCGGCCAAGAATTTCTTTTTTTCTGTCCGTGACGATCGTCTCGTTTTGAGTTCCAGCGCGAGGAAAACATCGAGGCCGACCGTCATGAACAAAATCAACTTGTTAGACTATATATATATAGGAAGAGAACACGCGCACAAGTTTCAATTCCACTGCTGCTGTTGCTGCTGCCAATATTTACCTTTTACCATTAATAAAAAAAAAAAAAAAAAAAAAAAAAACGGGAATAATTCGATTCAAACACATCGCTCATGTTCCCGCCACAACTGGATACAACGAATCGATATTTAAAAAAAAAAAAAACACTTAGTAGGTGTCACTCCGATTCTATTCGCGACAAAATAATACAAACTCTCGTGACACAATGGGAGAATATTTAATAAAAAACCCAGACAATTTGCTCTGATGTGGCGGCGCCGCTTCGTCAAATCAAAAAAAAAAGAGACTCAAAATGCAGACGAAATCGTTATTATATTGGCTGTAAAAAAAAATTTTTCAAAACAAATTTTTTAAATATGTTTAAATAAGTATATATATATTATATGTATTTTATGTGTATTTTAACATTTTACGATTCGTTCTGTGCATTGAATCTAAAAAAAATAATTCCTTTTGATTATACGATCCTACGACGTTAAAAAAAAGCGATTCGTCATTCAAGCATTGAAAAAAAAAAGTATAGTCGAAATTTTTTTGTAGAAAAACTCAATTTGGGAGTTTATATTTTCTAGAGATTATAAATGTTTTTAACCCGTTGAATTTTTACTATTTTTTTTTTTTTTAATTTTCAAAAACGGGTCTACGTTTGTACAGGGGGGTTTAAAAAAAAAAAATGGCGAAAAAAAATCAGGGAGCACCATGATTCGTCATAATTTCTCTTTCCGCCCGCCATCCCTCGCATAGAGTATTATCTTACCTTTATATAAGCGACACAGCAATTGAAATAATAATAATAATAATAATAATAATAATAAAAATAATAATAATATATATTCTATAAATATAAACATAAATATATTATATATATATATAAATATAAATATATGATGATATTTTATCGAGGAGATTTAGATTTTGTATTTTTCGCGCGTACGTCGCGATGGGACGACGGGTGGAAAAATCGAGAGGGAGAAAAAAAAAGAAGTAAATTTTTTTTATATATATATAATTTTAATAAAAAATTTTTCAAAATGAAAAAAATATATATTTGAATATGACGAATCATGGAGCAGCGGCCCCCGCAATTGTATTCTTCAAAAAAAAAAGGAAAGGAAAGGAAAAAAGATGAAAAAAAGATGAAAAAAAAAAAAAAAAAAAAAAAAAAACCCTAGTAATAATCGAAATAATAACTAATTCTTAATTAATACGATATACCTTTCGAGTAGGGATCGTCGACGCATGTAGCTTTTATTTCGAGAGACGTATTATATTATATTATATATATGCTATATTATATATTATATATATTATATATATAAATATCACATATTAACTATTGCAAAAAAAGAGGAAAAAAAAAATCAGCCGCAGACGGAATTTGCCGGAGGGTTGGGATCCCGCTCGAACCCCCATACCCACCCCCCAACACCCCTTCGTGAATTCAGGCTCAAAAAAACAAAAATCGTGAGCAATGTCGCGGCGTGTTTTTTTTTTGTTTTTTTTTTTTTTCTTTTTTTTTTCTTATGTTAACGCTGTGAAAAAAAAGCTGGGCTAATCTTTTAAATCAGCTCCGCAAAAAAAAAAAACGTTTTTCCAAGGTGATTAAAAGGCTGACAAAAGTTGACGAAAAAATAGGAGAGAATCACAATGAAAAAGAAATAATGATTTCTCCTCTTTTTTATCGGTATTCATTAACTTTTTTTTTTTTTTTTTCTCACTTTTTTTTCCGTTTCGCTGAAATATATATTTATATATAATTTTTTTTTCGTCCCTCATTAAATTTCTTGGTCTCGTTAAATCGTTGCCATTACGAAAATATGCTCAAATCATCATCGCGCGCGCAGAGCTCGCTGACATTTTTAATTTTTCATTGTCGGTGAGAAAAATTCTGCCCGCTGAGAAGGAACCACACGGAGAGTTGATCTCCGTTTTTTTTATTTTATTTTTTTTTTGCGTCTTTTGTGTGAGGTTCGTTCCTTTTCCATGTGGCGACCTCTACGGTCTTCTTGAGACTCTTCCTTCTTTCGCGTTCTCAATTAAAATTGCATATATATAAATATTTATAATTTTTTATATATATGCAAGAAAAACAGAATTTTTTTTTTTTAAATAGAGATAAACACGATTATTCTCGAATTTTCTGTTTTATTTTATTTAATATTTTTTTTTTTTTTTGCGATGACGCGCCCGTCATGTAATAAGATGCACCGCACTTATGACATTATACATATAAATATATATATATAAAAATAATATTATAAAAAAAAAAACGATACTCGAGAGAGGTTTATTATATTTAAGTTCGAGGCAAAGTAAATTCTATATTTTTTCTATGTTAAGTATAAACAAAAATATAAAAAAAAAAAAAAAAAAAAATGAAAAAAAAATGAAAAAAATGAAAATGGTGATGACATACATATATATATTATATATTTATAGGTATTCTCTTTAGCATCCACGTTCTGACTTTAAAACTATAAAAAAAAACGCACCGCGCAATACAGCGGAATATATAATAAAAAAAAAAATACATATATATGTAGATCAAGCGGATAAAAATATGTCATTCACACACTTCAATATATAAGTCTGATCGAAAATCACTATGAATTTAAAAAAAAAATTTATTTTTTTTTTTGAAGAAACAAATTTTTTTTTTTCTGGGTGAGAAAAATATGTAAAGAAAAAAGACGATGAAATTTATTATTTAAAAAAAAAAAAAAATAATGGGAGGGAATTTTTTTCGGGGCGGGACATATATATATAAATATATATTATAATTATTCGAGGGGATTTAATGAAATAGTGAACAAGTTTTTAGCAAGACAAGATTTAGACGATCGAGGAAGATTTTTAAATACGTAGATATATAAGAATTATAATAATATATAAATATATTAAAAATAAAGTAAATAAAGAAAAAAAAAAAAATTATTATAGCAAACCATGGAGGGAAAAGAGAAAATGCTAGTAATCTATATATATATATATTATTCTATGGCGTTTTGCGCTCGTGAATTTTTAACGCGTAAAAAAAAAATAAATGTAAACTAATAATATGTGAAAAAGACGATTTTTTTTATGAGGCGAAGGGCGATTGTCAACTTTTATAAAAGGGATTTTCGAAAAAATTTTTTTTAAAAAAGGTGTGACTGTTTTTTTTTTCGAGAGAGAGAGTTCTTTTTTTTAATTCTGTTTAGAAAAGCCGTTAGAAATCTTTGCAATGGAAAATCATAATAATGGGGTAAAAAAATTTCAACCCCTGATTTATATTTTTAAATTCGAAATTTAATTTTTTTTTTTCTTTTTTTTCATCGAATTTCCCTTGCAAATGATAGATCACCGTTCGTCACACGTCTTTTATGTAACAATCATGACTTAATCTCGTTTTTTTAAAAACATATATTTTGTTTTAAAAAAAATTTCTTTCCATTCATTTAATATTTAAAAAAAAATTTATTTGATTTTTCACTAACTCATGTACCAATTAATAAAAGCGAGTATTCATATATAAATGTGGCTAAGATTTTAAACGAGATACAGTTTAACGATAATATATTAATAATGATAATAGTTTACGAAGTAATAATTATATAGATATTTAATATGTATTAAGAGGCGTAAATTGCGTAATACAATACATGAACATATAAAAAAAAAATAGCCATTGGCTGTGACCGATAACTGCCATTTTCGTAGAAAAAAAAAAATGCAAAAAAAAAAATAAAATAAAGAAACGAGAGAAATGAGTCTTAAAGAAATCACAAACGAGCTCACATTGACGTGATTTGACGGACGGTTGAAAAGATCGTAAATTTTTTTTTTTAATAAAAGGTGTTTGGAGGCAAAAAAAAGTGAATTCATCGCAAAAGAGGGTTTATGTGAGAGAAATAAAATTTGTGTGATTAGTGAATGTGAGAGAGAGAGAGAAAGGAAAAGAGCAGGTGTTGTCGAGGCTCCCTTATCCCCCCCCCCCTTTTTTTTGTAAGACGAGTGACGAATAGAATATAGAGGATTAGAATGTGAAACACACGACGATACATATCTCAAAGAATAATAATTAAACATAAGAAAATCATATAGAGAATTAATGAAAAAAAAAAAAAATAGAAGTAAAATAGATTTAAACGTGAGCGTATATAGAGGATTCATAGAGACGATCGTTGTTGCTTAATTTAACTGTATTTAATATGTTATTATATTCTATTGTATAGGTATATATATATATTATATATATATAAATATATAAAAAAAAAATATCATTTTTAATGGTGAAATATTCGAATTGTGTTATCGCGCTCCCTCCCTTTTTTTAGAATTCGCGCACAATCTCTATATATATATAGTGAGAGTGAGATTTTTTTTTTCATTGATTTTTTTTTTCTTGCATATATTTATAATAATAATAATAAAAAATAAGCTAATTACAAAAAAACCCAAGTAGTGATTGGAGAGTGAGAACGTTTCGAGATATATATCTAATATATATATTATATATTATATACGTTTTGTATTAATTATATAAATATATATGCGAATATAATAAATGCCGAACGTAATTACTATATAGCCGCGTGTAATGCTTTTTGGGAAAAAAAAAAAAAATGACTTTTTGATATAGTGGAAAAAAAACCCCGATCCCTTGGATTAATTACTTAATTAAATACTTACACCTACTGGATTACTTAAACGAGAGAAAGAAAGAGAGAGAGAGAAGGAAAAAAAATAGCTGTTCGTATTCATGTATTGTCATCAAAAAAAAATTTTTTTTTTTTGTATAACGGATAATTGTCGCGTTATCCTAATCGATGTAATTATATAATATCGATGAAAAAAAGAAAAGAAAAGGGAAAAAAAAGAAAAAGGAAAAAAAAAACCGCTGTATATTATGACCAGTACTATATTTGTTAGGCCGTTTCGCGAGGATCAGCGCGGCTACGAGCAGTTCTCAGCCCACAATCTCGATCTCAGATGCGAATGAATGCCTTGAACGATATTTGTCCTCTTCTTATTTTTCTTTTTATAACGATTTCACTTGTACTCTTCGTATACTTTTTCAATTTATTTTCTTTTAATTTTATAACAAAAATTTTTTTTTTTTTTTATCAGAAAAGAAATAATTTTTTCGATTTTCAAAATTTGAATATTTAATTGACAATTTTTTTTCTACATTTTATATATATATTATTCTATATTATTTACAAAATATATATTTGTATTAATTAATATTAATTTTAATTATTCTATCAAATAATTGAAAAATATTAATTAATATAATATAAATTAATAATATAGCCAATATTATGTATAGAAAATGTAAGAAAATATTTCATAAAATTCTTTTTTTTAAATACGAAAATTTTGTGAAAAAAAAAATATTCTCAAAAAAAAAAAACATTTTCGGTTGATGAAAAATCACCTATCTTGGAAATGTACAATGAAATATTTCCTAATTCCTGAAGCTCGAATTTTCATAAAATTTTCTATATTTAATAATTTTTTTTTTTTCAACGATGAGAAAAAATATACTATTGAAAAATAAGTAAATTTTTATTTGAAAAATAGTTATATTTTTCTCAAAGTGCAAAATAATATGAATATTTGATAGAATTTTTTTTTTTTTTTATAGTAAAAAAAGAATTTATCGAATTCATATTAAAAAAAACATAAGGAATTTTCGAGGAAAACAAATCAGGACAAATCAGATTTATCGTCCCTTGGAGAAAATGATTTTTTTTTTAAGCAATATTTTCTTTTTTCAAACAAAATTATTTTCAAAAAAAAAAAAAAACAAATTTATTTTCCCTTTTTTTCAATTTAAAATTTATTTTTCGCTAAATTGTATAAAAAAAACAGAGTCCAAGTGTCATTGTTTCCCTCTTTGTAATTTTAGTTTATTTCTCAATTTCGCTGAATGATTAGCAATTTTAAGGATTATGGGATAACCCCTGCTCTCTCGAATGTCTGTGTATGAAAAAAAAAAAAACTCCTTTTTCGAGTAATGACAGTCGCCCGAAAAAAAAAAACCTAGAGAATCAGTATTTCAAGATGTAATTATTATATACGAAAAAAAAAGTTGATATTTTTTCATTTGACAAGAATTTTTTCCTTTTTAGTTTTTCTTTTCTTCTTTTTTTTTTTTTTTTTTGAACGAACAGAAAAAAAATTGAAAAGTGCGCGATATAAAAAAAAAACACATGGAGGTTTGTCAAATAACCGATTATACAAAATAGTGAGATAAAAAAAAAAAAAAATCGTGGATATGAATTACTCCAGGGGGGGGGGAAACAATTGGGAAGGGAACAAGGTGCGAGATAGCTTTTGCTCCGACTGATGATGAAAAAAATTAAATCGTATGGTGAATGTTAGTGCTAATATTTTTTACAACAAAAGAGTAGGGGGGGGGGGGAATTTTTTTTTTTTTTTTTCACAAAATTATAGAAAAAAAGAGGAACACTTAGCAATCATTTAAAGGAAAAAATTAAATATATATATATATGTGACACATATTATTATAGTTATGATTATTATTATTATTATTATTATTATTATTATTATATTGAATGTTGTGCGTAGTGTTTTTTTTCAAGGGCCCCGGCTGCGGTTCAAAAAAAAAGAGAGAGAGAGAGAGGGCAGATTTAGAGAAAAAAAAAGTAATTAATATATGTAGCGAAGAATATTTTATATTTGACATTTTATCACATTTATTGATTATAATATTATTATTGCTATTGTCGACGTCGATATTATTAATAGCATTATTAATGATTATTATTATTATTATTATTAATGATTATTATTATTATAATTATTATTATTATTATTATTATTATTATTATTGTAGTGTGACAAATGGCGAGCAGTTAGTTAAAAAGGAAAAAAAAAAACCTCGCGTTTATTGCCAGTGATTCTCAAATATTTTCCTAATCATACTCAGTGATCCTCAATCGCGAAGACAAAGAATATTTTGGATATAGAAAAAAAAAAAAAACCGGGAGCAACGCTGCTCGCACATTTTTTTTTTTTTTTTTTGTAAATATTAATTTACATTATATCCTCAAGTAACTCTCGCGATCAATTTTAAAAAAAGAAATAAATAACGACTGAATTTGAATGGAAATCGGAGAATTTTTTTTTTTTTTTTTAAAGAAATTTATAAGTTCCACACTCCGCAGGGACGCTTTTAAAAAAAAAATTTGTTTTTTAAAAGTAACCCCAAGGACCAATGGTTGATATTTACATTGTTTATTAATAAAGAATTTTTATTTAGTATCAATTATAATAATATATCGAAAAAAGTTTTGTAAAAGAGACAAAATTGTTTTTAGTTTACAGAGAGATAGAGAGAGAGAGAGAGAGAAAGAGAGAGAGAGAGGTTGAAAATAGATAGATAGAAAAGAGAAAGTGAGAGTAAAAAATTTTATAATTTTTTTTTTTATGCAAAATAGTCCCCAGATGAGTCTGAACAAAAAAAATAACGCATTGTCTCTTCCCCGTTAAATCGGGATTATTTTTGTAGGGCCTCTTTTTGTTTTCTTTTTTTTTTTTTTTTGTGATTACCAAGCGCACGTCCCTTGGACGGATCGACTGACCTATTTTGCATTTATATACGCACTCTTTTTGGAAATTATTTTTTTATCGTCGAGATTTTTTTTTTTAGTCTTTTCCTCCTCTTTTGAAAATAATAAAGTGTTTTGGGCATTATTGTGTGTGTAAAAAAAAAAAAAAAAAAAAATGAGGAAATGAATGAAAAAAAAAGAAAAGACGCGGGAAAGACGCCACACATTCGACGTATTTAAATTATTAAAAAGACCGATTTGACACATATATGACGTTTAATAAATAAACGTATATATTATTATAAAAAAAAAAAAAAAGAAACTTAGTATCTGTAATAACTACTTACATATTGTATTTGCTCTCGTATTTATATATTATAAGAATGGAAAAAGAGAATAAGACACGAGACCCAATATAATAATTACTCGACGGCATACGGCACATACGCAGCATCTTTTTTTTTTTTTTTTTTTTAAATTTTTTATTGCTAGTTTTTTTTTTTTCGTTTCTTATAAATAGATGTAGCGAACGCCATGACCGAGAGAGAAAGATAGAATGTTTGCAAGAAAGAAAGATTATATATATTATTCGTGCGTGAGAGTATGAGAGAAGAAAACAAAAAGAATTGCGAGGTTATTATTTTCTATATTTTTTTATTGTAATTTTACGGACATGCGATAATATATTATGACTATTATTAATATTATTATTATTATGAATATTTTAATATATAATATGATTTTAATATAATGTGCACTTATATATTTTCTTCCCTATGTTTTTTCTTTTTTTTTTTTTGTGTCTGGTTGTGTATTAAGCTTTGTGTTTGATTTGTTGTTGTGTTTGTTGCTTATCGATGTCTCCATTTCGGAGGACTTCCGCATTTTTTTTTTCCTATTTTTTTTAATAATTTTGTTTTTGAATTTTTTTTTTTTTGATAAAATAACGCACGAAAAGAAAAAATTGTCGAAACGACGAAATCAAACACGCAAGACATGACAACCCGACTGCCCTTATGTTAAATAATAATGCTATTTCTTTATACGAAGTATACCGCTATAATTATATTGCTATTATTATTATTATTATTAAATTACTATTATTATTATTATTATTGCTACTATATATATAAAAAAAAAATCGCTATTTTTACTGCGGCTGAAATTCAGTGTGGCATATATATATTATATTCATATAATATATATAGAACACAAAAAAAAATATACCTGTCCAAAAAAAAATCAAAATGCATGTATGACGTTCAATCTATTCTCGTTCCAATAATATGTTGACTGAATTTTTTTTTTTTTTTTTTTTTTAAATATTTATCTATTCAGTCGGACATAAGATTTCAAATTATATTATGAGTTCAGATTTTATTTAAATGAATTTTTTTTTGTTTAATTAGAATTATTTACTTAGACGCGTGAACGTGAAAGTTTCATTTATTATTCTTATTATATTATATTATTATATTATTATTATTATTATTATTATAAAGAATTACGATTATAATTAACGTCATCCACCTCGTCATTTAAAATATTTAAAAAAAAAAGAAAGATAAAATAAATAAAAGAAACAAACATGTTCATTATCGATAATATTCTATTTTAATTGTTTATTTTTGTACGAAACGAGTCTTATTTTATTGTAACAAACTCCGAGCTTTCTTCTTTTGTATAATGTGTAGTACCGATAACTGATCCGACTGCGATGAAAGACATACATACGTGCTTTGCCGTTTTATATATATATATATAAAAAAAAATATATATATATATAAATAATATTATTCAATTTTATTAATAATGAAAATTATTATTATTATATATGGCAAGGGTTTATATATTGATGAAATGAAAAAAAAGGTTCAGAATAACGAAAAAAGAATGTTGGTTGGTTTATTATGATATAAGTATTTCTACGAAATGGTACCAAATATTTTATTAAAAAGAAAAGAGAAACGCCAAGATACAATACACACACTGAGAAAAAAAAAGAAAAAAAAAAAAAAAAAAAAAAAAAAAAAAAAAATTGTAATAAAATGTTACGTAATTTTTATACATTGACTCTTAATTTCTCTCATCATCTCAACTATTTTTTTTATATATATAGCCTTAATTTTCTTTAATTAAACACTTTTTCTGTATTTTTATTTTATAAATTTTTAACTTTTACTTTCCTTTTTTTATCACAGTTTTCGCTTTTTTGTATTTTTCTGAATTAAATAATTTTTATTAAATTTTATTAAATTATTAAATTATTAAATTATTAAATTATTGAATTTATTAAATTAGAATTCCGATTAAAAAAATTAATATAATAATATTTATTATTTAAAAGTACTTTAGAAATATAATTTTTAATTTATTATTATTTTCGAAATATTTGTATTTCGAAAGTTTTTTTTTTTTTTTTAAATATATTTTATTCTAATAAATTTTAGTTTTTAAGTTATTATATTTTTAAGTCAAGTTTATTGTGCTCTCAAAAAATTAAATCGAAGGCCATTGAACTGGTAAGTTTATAATTTCATTTTGCTTTTTTAAACATATTTTAATTTTTTCAATGATTTTCTTTAATTTTTTTTTAAATTATTAATTATAATTTTAATTGATTTTTTGAATGAATTTAATATATAATTTTTCTTATTATAAATATACACACATTAAAATTCACATTTTCTGATTTTTTTTTTGATAATTTTCCTTTAGACAAAAAATTAAGCTTTTTATTATTATTGTATTATTAATAAAATATAGTCTAATATAAATTGAAACACTAACACGTATGTAGTTCTTTAAAGTAGATAATATTTAGGTAATAAAATTGGATTTGCTTTAAATAAAAATTTTCCAATGATCAATTATTATATTATATCCATTTTGGTCTCTTGTCGCCTGGCGGATAAATTATCGGTTTACATATATATATATATATGATCGTATATAATGCACGCTTTGAAATTTTATATCTTTATAATATGATTTTATGAAGAGAAAAATGGTAAATTACAAAATTATTTGCTGACTGAAAATTGTGAATGTAATATGTTCACAAAATCCATTATATATAATTCGAAAAAGAAATTAATCTCCATTTAAGAGGATTTCTCTTTAATAGTAATTAATTTCTCTATATTAATTATTATCTCAATTTTTGATATTTTTCCTTTGGAATATTTTTTTTCGATTTTGTGAAAATAAATCGTAAAGAGACAATTTCCTCTTAATGTGAGATTATTTTATTTTGATTCTATATGTGAATATTTAAAAAAAGAATGTTTTTTATTTTTAAGCGATTAAATACAAGAGGTTATTTGGAGAGATCATTTTCCTCTTATTGTGAGATTATTTTTTCTTTTCGAACGAAAAGATCTTTTTCTTCTCATTATGAGAGTTTTTCATTATATATATATATATATAATTTGTAAATATTTTTTTTCCTTCATTTTAAAATTATATATTTATTGATGTTTAAAATTTGCTTTAAAATTATTACTTTTTTTTTAATTTTCGCTTTTTTATGTGAGTAAAAAGTTTTATTTTATTATTTATTTTTATACTATATTTCATTGGCAAATCTGTAATTTTCCCTTTAAATTAAAATTACTTGTCTCTCTAAATCAGAATTGGTTAAAAAAAACAAACTGACTTATTCAAATTTTGGTGAAATTTTTTTTCAAATTTTGAGAAAAAAAATATTGTAAAAAATATTTCCTGAATTCGATATTTTAGTTTGAATTAAAAATTTTCTATTATAACGTTTATAAAAGAAAATATTCGTTTAAGCGTTGGATTCAGCACGGCAAGGTACTACTACTTGGCAAGTAGTAGTGTCGTCGTATGGTAAGACATACATCGAGTAAGTCCTACGAAACAACTACACTACTACTTGCAAGTACATTTTGGTGCATTTCAACCTTTTTTTCTTTTACACAAAAAAATTTGGAAAATTATTTAATTTTCTATACGAATTTATCTATTTTTAACCATTTCATTATAACTGAAAAATAATATTCTAAAATTGAGAATATAATCTCATTTTCTATTTAAAAAAGAAAATATTCTTAATATAAGAATATTTTTTAATTTAAAAATTGTTTCTTACTTTATAACTGTATTATACTCAGGAATCTAATATTCTAATTTTAAGATTATTACCTTCTAAGAGTATAATATTCTCATTTTGAGAGTATACTATTTTCTAAAAGTATAATATTGTTTTTTTATACTATTTTCTAAAAGTATAATATTCTTTTTTTGAGAGTATTCCATTTTAAAATTTGTAAAATTCTTATTAACCAAATTTTAGAATTATAATTTGCTATAAATATACTATTCTTAAATTAAGAGTATTTTTCAATTTAGGAATTGTTTCTTACTTTAAGTGTATATTATATTTCAAGAATGTTATATTCTTATTTGAAGAGTAATACATTCCAAGAGTATTATATGCTTATTTTAAGATTATTCTATTCTAAAAATACAATATTCTTATTTTAAGAGTACTTTATTTTAAAAAAACTCTATTCTTATTTTAAGATCATTTAAAAATTTTAGAATTATAATATGTTATAACTATAATTATTCTTAAAATGAGAATATTTTTTTCTTTGAAAACTGTTAATTTGAAGAATATAACATTCTAAGAGTACAATATTCTTTTATTATACAATATTCTTATTTAGGAGTATTTTATTCCAAGGGTATATACATTCTAAGAGTATATAATATGCTTCTTTTAAGAGTATTCTATTCTAAAAGTACAATATTCTTAATTTAAGAGTATCGTATTCTAAAAGTATAATATTCTTATTTTAAAAATATTCTATTTTAAAATTATACAATATTCAAATTTTAGAATTAAAATATGCTACAAATAAAATATTCTTAATATAAGAATAATTTTTTTTATTTGGAAATTGTTTCTTATTTAAAGAGTATTACATTTTAAAAGTTGATGATTCTTATTTTTAAAATATTTTTATCTAAGAGTATTGTATTTTTATTTTTTCATTTGCAAATTTTAATATGCTATAAATATAATATTCTCGAAATAAGAATACTTTTTAAGTTAAAAATTGTTTTTTATTTGAATAGTAATCTCTAAATAGGAATTAGTTGAAAATAAATAATTGTTAGGAAAATTTTGACTGAATTTTTGCATTAGCAATTGTCAAAAAAGAACTGCTTATTAGTAAAAAAAACTAATTATTAGTAACAAAAACTAATTATTAGTAACAAAAACTAATTATTAGTAACAAAGACTAATTATTAGTAAAAAAATTAATTATTAGCCAAAAAAGTAATTATTAGTAACAAAAACTAATTATTAGTCAAAAAACTAATTATTAGTAAAAAAAAGCTGATTATCAGTAAAAACTAAAAAATAACTAATTTTTAGTGGAAAAATAACTGAAAAAATAGTCGAAACTAATTGAATTATTTAACATAAAATT